ATATTTCAGTTTTCCTATTACCGTTTTTCAAGAAAAAGTAAAATCTAAAGTAATAGATACCCTTTTAATTGCAGCGTCATAAGAAAAAGGTAGATAAAAACCAAAACAAAAATTTTTCTTAATTTTTAAACGAAAGATTTAACGATAAAAATCTTAATATAGCTTTTTCACATAGTAGTATTTTTGGAAAAGGGTGATATAAAAGAATAACGTTCATTAGAAACGCTCTTTAAAAAATGCTGTGTCATAATAAAAACGCTAATAAAAAGAAAAATGAATAAAAATCAAAAGAATAACTTTTCAAATTATTGAACTATATGAAATATATTGAACTATATGAATCAAAGAAAAAAAAATTATTCTTAGTTCTAAAATTTAACTTTAATGTGAGAATATCAGTTTTCTATCTTGCTATTTATCTGTCTGTTTTACCGTGCAAGGAAAAAAAAAAAAGACAAAATAATTAAGTCTTGTTAGAAACGCTTCGATTTAGTTAAAACAGAAAAACAAGCTCAAATGAAACAAAAAAGTTCTCAATTTTTAAAATGAAGTGTTGAAAAAACGATGTAATTGACTTGCCTGAATATAATTAAAAAAAAAANAATTAAAAAAAAAAAAAAAAAAATAGCATTACAAAACTTACTCAACAGAAAAGAGGCAATGAAAAAAATTAAGTCTATTCGTTTTTTTTTTTTTCTTTTTTGCAATTATTTCTTTTTTTTAACAATTTTTTTCTCTGTATTTATTGCTATACATTCTCGCATAATTTTAAAAATTCCGATATATTTATTACATTTGAATTTTAATCGCCCATTCGACGTGCTTTATTCGTGCTAATTTCTTCCTAAATTTAATTTTTTTTATCTTTTTTTTTCCTTTGAAATTATTTCTATGTTTTTCCATGTGACTGACGATCTCGTTATTTTTACTACAATCAAGCTTGGCATGGTATCTACCATGTGAGGTTTTTACCGGTACATACCATGGTTTTTACCGTCTATGAAAATAAACTTTCCCATAGTATTAACTATTTTGTGAAAAGAAGCATTTTTCGCATCCTTAAAAAATTACTTATTTCTTTTATTTGTGTGAACATCTTAAAAGCGTAAATAAAGACAATATTGAAACAAGAATTAGGAACATTTAAAATAGTCTTGTATGATAACATTGCGATACAATATATGATTATTTTAAGAATTATTGTTCTAAAAAATTTTCAAGGGTCGAAATTTTCTTGATATTCCTAATAAAAAATATTTTGTCCTGATTTGCCCTTTTAAACTTTATTTTTTCTGTTGTAGAGCATTATTAAGACTTATAATACTCAATATAACAAGTACAACATATCATGAGATCCTGTTTAAAATGCTAACATTTAATTTGCAAAAAAATATGTTAGTAACTAGTTAAAAATTACTAGCCTTCCGATATTCAACTATTTTTTTTTCCTTCATGTTTAAGTGAGCAATATTACTCGAAATAGAGATAAATAAAAAAATTTTTTTTTTAAATTTCTGATAATCAATATACAAAAGTGAAAAACAAACATTTAACTTTTTCTTGAAATCTTAACCCGAAATGTTGATGTTGCAAACATTCGTAGGCGACTACTGGCTAAGTAGTCTTAATCCCTAACAGAAAAATACTTCTGTTATTGCTCCGTGAAATATCTCTGCTATTGGAAATTCTGACTTGTCAGAATTACACACAATCAGACTTGTGTTTGCTATAAGAAGAAATTGTCGGAAATTTTTTAGAACTTTACGGTGAGATAGTTTCATTTCTTTAACTAATCAATTTTGTTTCGAGACGATGAATAATAGATGAATAAAAGTATCATTTAAAGGAGGAAGAAAAACAAATTTAAATAATAAATTTTTTCCCCTTCAACGCATAAAAAAAATATATATGTATTCTACATTTGTGGTCGATATTTCAGTATTTTGTAAAAAATTACTTATTCCTTATGTATTTGAGTTATCTTTACATTAAAAAACGTGAGCTTTGTGAAAAAAGAAAGGTTGGAAAAGAAAACAAAACAAAAAAACCCCACATATATTTACATGGAAAGCACACGATTTGAACGTATCAAAACAATGTAAACTAAGAGAAAAATACTTCTGCTATTGCTCCGTGAAATATCTCTGCTATTGGAAATTCTGACTTGTCAGAATTACACACAATCAGACTTGTGTTTGCTATAAGAAGAAATTGTCGGAAATTTTTTTAGAACTTTACGGTGAGATAGTTTCATTTCTTTAACTAATCAATTTTGTTTCGAGACGATGAATAATAGATGAATAAAAGTATCATTTAAAGGAGGAAGAAAAACAAATTTAAATAATAAATTTTTTCCCCTTCAACGCATAAAAAAAATATATATGTATTCTACATTTGTGGTCGATATTTCAGTATTTTGTAAAAAATTACTTATTCCTTATGTATTTGAGTTATCTTTACATTAAAAAACGTGAGCTTTGTGAAAAAAGAAAGGTTGGAAAAGAAAACAAAACAAAAAACCCCACATATATTTACATGGAAAGCACACGATTTGAACGTATCAAAACAATGTAAATCAAATGCACGTTTTGAGTGCATAAATAGCATTTTATTAAAAATATCAAGATTTTAAAAGCCGTTCAAAACTCAGAAGTTAAAACTGACGAATAATGGAGATAATCGCAAATGCTCAGATACGTAATTCAACTTTCCCATGGAATAAATCGAGAACATATGAAATATATCGATATTTTATAAAAATTTTGTGACATAAAAAAGATCGAAATACCATATTCATAGTTGCCAACCCTTCTGCATTTTTACTTATTTTAGCAGCTATTTTTTCCTCTTTTATGCACAGAAGAGAAGATCTTCTGCATTTTACCCATCCGCCTGATAGCTAGTATTTTCTTTAAGTCAGACGTCGCTGTTCCTCTTGTAACAGCCTTTGGCAGGGCCATAACTACATTTTTAATCAAGAATTAATAAATGAATATTGTACCATCAAGTAGCTGGTCAAAAATTTTTTTGAAACATGTTTCCTTTTTTGTTTTAAAAAAAGATGAGTATTGCTTTTTTATGCTCATATTAAGTGGATTTATAAATAAATAATTAAAATCCGCTTCTTTTATAAATTTATTGGTAATTAGTATGTGCTTGCGAATCTTCTGCATTTTTAGGCATTTCTTCTGCATTTTTTTTGTCTATCTTCTGCATTTTTATAACTAGAGGTTGGTAGCTATGCATATCTATTCAGCAGAAATCGAGTGTTTAAAAAAATAAATTACTCCGCAAATTTCGTATTCTGAATTTCTCCTGTCGTAATGATTCCGTATGGAAATGGTGGGATTTTAAGGACCACGTGAAAATCAGTAGCAAAGTTGCGAAAAGTTCGTTCGTAAAAAAAAAAGAAAAAAACGTATCGTTGCGTTAAAAAGTGATTGATCAAAATGCGCTATTCAAATTTCGTGTGTCGTAATAATATTGGATGGAGTTTTAGAAAATCAAAAGCAATAACTGCCATAAGAAAAGAAGAAAATTATCGGAACACCACATGGATTTCAAAAATGAATCGAGCTCTTTGAAAAGGTCTTAGTTAAATGCAGGATTTGAAATTTCCTTTTAATATCTTAATATAAACATTAAATAAAAGTTGTAACAAAATAAAAAAAAGGAATTAAAGGTACCACATTAAATTAGAGTTTGAAACAAAATACGCTTAATAACTTTAAAAAAATTGAGAAAAGAACAAACTTTTTTCTATAATTATTTTTTAATAAATTCTTTTGCTATATTTTTAATCAATTTTATACAGCAATTGAGTAATAACAGCCAAAGTCATTTATTACTGAATTTTTCTTTGAGTATGGAAGTAAATCCGAAATTGTGTTCCGTTCTCATGTCAAAAAAATCGTCATCGCGAGTGAACGAAATTTGTGGGAAAAAAAAGGTAAAAGAAGAATAAATGGTCTTTACGATATTTTGGCGAAATTACAAGAATTAAACTTTAGATTATTGAAACTCTGGAAAAAATTAGCCGAAATAAATTTTGTCTGTAATGCTTATTCGATGTATCTAGAGTTATGTTAATAATTACACTGTGTATTTTTGGAAAATGTCTTATTTCAGAGTTATTGTATTCAGTATTTTTTTAATTAATTTATCAAGTTAAAAATATTAAATTTGAAATAAATTTTTACTCAAGTATTGCATGATTATTTAAATGATGCATTTAGGAAGAAAAAATCATTGAAAACCATTGCAAAATTTAATGAAATGTATTTAATTGCTCAAATGCAAGTGCCACATTTTTTTATATTACAGTTATTATTTTGCATACATCTCTCAATTCATAATTCAAACAGGTTAGTTTTGTTTACCTTCAAGATAACCAATAATCCCTTGTTTTCTAAAACTCTATTTTTTCATCTTACTCAAAATATCACTTACATTGTCGATTTAATGCCATAACTTTTATTTAATGTTTTTTAAACATAGAACTCAAAATATCACTTTCCTATAGTTTTTTTTATTTAATTTTTTCATTTAGTTTTTATAATGAATGAAAAAAAGGGGTTTGGATGAATATATTTTGAGTGAGATGAGTCCTTATCATTAAAAAACGTGCTTAACGTGCTTTTTATTTAATCCAAAACAATATATTTGTTTATTATTGTGTATTTTCTATTGGATTATAACAATTTGCCAGTTTTTATTTTATGATAGAAAATTTATTAAAACTGAATTATTATTATAGAAATGATATTAAAAAAGCAAATGTGTTATAGAATTAGTAAATTGGGACTAATGATACCAAACTGGAAAGGTTTTATTTATCACAATACCATTCTTGTATACTTTCATTGTTAAATTTACTGTTGGATATATTTCTATTCTCTTATTTTATTAATATAAAAATAATCTTAGGATACACTTTAGATAGATTTACAACAATTCTCCCTGTACTAAATTATTAAAAAAAAAAATTTTTTTTTTGGTAGGTTATTGATCATGATAAATGGGATTATGTTATAGAAGAATTGAAACTTCCAAAGTCATGTGCTAACTTCTCTCTGGGACTCCGTCAAATATATATAAGGTAAGTGCTTTATATTTTCACTCATTCATTTCAATGTTTACTCTTTTTGAGGATGATGATTTAATTACAGTCAGAAATATACCACTGTTTGATTATCATGTATTTGTATATACAATAAAACCTATTAAGTTGATTATTGTTTAATCTCAAAGATCAATTACCAAATTTGCTAATTCCCCTTTCATAAGTTGAGCACTCTTCTAATATAGTAGGCCACCAAAATATTGTCGAACAAGTAGTCAACTTGCACAGATTTCGCTGTTACGTTTAATTTATTTGTATTTAATTCATCTGTATCCATTGGTGGTCAAAATCGTTTAAAACTGAACTTATAAATCCAAGAAAAAATAACGAAAAGGTATACATTTTGCTACAACCTTAAATATAAAAATAAAAAGGTACGAAATATCCGTAAAAATAAAATATACGAATTGTAGATTCACTTATACTGAAAATTAACATGCTTTAGCGCTGTTTCCTAATGTTGTCTGTCTTGCACCCCTCTAATTAGTAAAAATGCTTCTGGACCTTCCCCCCCCCTCTCTGCTTAAAACTGTTTAGGAAAATGGGAGACATTTTTTTTTATTATCTGTTTTTAACGTGGAGTTAGGTATGAACAAACTCGATCTTCCCATTAATTTAGGTAACAAGGCAAAATGTGTTGAGTAGTATAACAATAAATTTTACTATAATTTCTATAAAATGTGTTTTTTTTAATTATTTGTATGTTTATTTACTTTTAATTTCGCCGGTAAAGAAGCGCAGCGTGAAGTCGAATTTCGTTTGAAAGCGGTGGAAGTTCTAGGTCCGATCACTAGGAGTTTTTTGTCGTATTTGTCGAGCAGTCGCCGTTCACTATTTTTTTTTTCTTAGACTAGTAACGACATTTTTTTCAAAGCTGTGTTTATAAATTTATTAAAAAAAAAAAAAAAAAAAAAACCGTTTTTATTTTGTTGAAACAATGAGCTAAAAGTATTTTATCCAAAATTCAGTAAAAATTTTCACAAAAGTTATAATCGTCTAAAAGCTTTTGAAAACACTATGCCGGAAAAATACCTGTAAAAATTTTGACACTGTATGTACAATAAATAGAAAATAAATGTTATTTTGAACTTAAATATGTAATCATACTACTCATAATCAGTAACTAGTAGTTGAACTCTACATTATACCAAACTTATAATCATGATTGTAAAAAAACTCAACCCACTGTTTTTTTTCCAGGGTTTTATTGTTTTTTTTTTTCAAACTTAATTGAATTTTTCATCATTTCTTTTATTGTGTCTAGTCTTAAAGTAAATCTTGCTACATTAATAAATACTATTAATTTTGTCAATAACTGAGCCATTAATAACCATAATTAATGCATTATATTAATGTCATTTACATTGATAAATTGGCAAATTTGAGAAAAATGTATTTATTTATGCAATGGTGCATTGCGTTACTTTTCTAACTATGTAATTGTGCCCTATGTTATGTAAAGTGAAAGAGAGCTTCTTGAATAAGCTCTGGTATTTCAACATCAAGGAATACATCAGAATCTTGTTCCTGATTATTATATTCTGATATTATTCTATTCATATACTTATGCTGCATTCATAGAGGTGGTATTAAGGAATTAGAGGGAATATCCGTTTTTTTTTTTTTTTTTTAATCGGGGGACTCTTTGCCTACTGCACCGAACAGGTTTTGATCACGTGCTTGGGAGACATTTCTTTCAACTGGGGTATTTTACATGGAGTTCAGTGGTGTTTAGGAGTCCCCACTTAAAAATGGTTAAATATATACTTGTGCTCTCAACTGTAAGGAAAAAGTCATAAAGTGTAACGTTTCACTTGAAGTCTATTTACATGTGAGTTATAAATTTCATTGGTCTTTGGCGCAAGTTTGGCGATTTTTAAGGACATTTACTACGCCTAGAGAATCGTTTTCTTTTGAAGAAAAGAAACGAAATAGAAAAGTTTGCCGGGGAACAATAATCAGATAGTTTAAAACTTTACAACGAAAATTTCGAAAACTGAAAGTGAATTTTATTTATTTATTTGTGAAACATTTGACGTAACTAAACATGTAGCTTTTTTTTTACTTAACTTAAAATTATTGAGCTTTATTTTCAATAGATTTTTTATTTGCTTATTCGTATAGCCCTTTTATTTGTATTCGTATAGCCCTTAGCGGTTCCAGGAGGTGACTTCATTTATGTTAATTAGTGGTTGCTAATAATTGATAGTCTCAAAAAACTGCCTAGTAATGTCGTCACCGCGAATGGAGTAAATTAAAATAACCATTAACCAAGTCAAGAGAGCAATATCAACATTTTCTCCGTTGCTACGCAATCAAGTTGAGACTATGAAAAGAATGAATTAAAAACTGGACTGATTTTTTTGTCCCAAAAAGACAAGACTGTTTTCTTTTTAATTCTCGTTTGAAAATAAAATTTAAATCAATAAATTATTCATTGTAATTTTAAAACTTTTTATCTGACCTCATTTGTGTTTTGTTTTTACTTCATTTTTATGAGAATTTCATACTAAAATAAAACTTACTCATAACTTTTTATAATTATATACAAAATTGTAGGACTAATCATTTTTATAGTCTTCTGGGCTAGGATATTTAAAAAGGGAGGGAAAAAAAAGTTTATGAAAAAGTATAATGCTCCTTCACTAGGTTTTATATAATTTACGATATTTTTTTATTTATTTGGTAACTGATAAAATCTGTGAATTTTAATTGGCATTTTAAAAACATTTACGTTACATAGTTTTCTTTGGATGATTTGCAAATAGCATCCTGATGTTTCTATTAAGACACTTATTTTCGCAAATTCACCATAAAATGTCGAACGTTTTTCAAATCAAGACATTTATTACCAAGTGTAGCTAATGTGTGATTTCTTTGTTTTTCCTTAATTTGCAAACTTGTTTTCTCACCATCACCTTTGATACAATACTCTCATTTTTAACTGAGTTCGTAAGATTAAGATGCTGAAATGGTGGCCACAAAACTAAGGAAATAAAATGTATTCTATTATGTTTACATTCACAACGTTTATAATGTTAAATTTTATTAACTCCAAATATCTAGCTTCAAAATTTTAAAGTTGAAGGTAACTTCATAATTATAATATTGATGCTACGATTCTCTTACTTTTTTAAGGATGTTATGAACCCTTTTAAAATATTGAAGTATAGATGTTTATTTCTACGAGCTTAAAATTCTTATCAAAATACCAAATGTAATACAGTATGATCGATGATATAAACTTCATTGACTTCAGAAAAATAAAATATAAAGATGGGGAAAAAAACGTCAACATGTTTCGAGCGCTCAAAAATAAGTGCCCATTCTCCAGACTCCAAGACTCGCCAATCGGGAATGACTCCTGACGTGAATTTTTGACCGCTGAAAACATGTCTACTTTTGTCATTATAAATATTTGGAAGTCAATGAAATTGTTATATGCTTTCGCTTCAGTTTATTGAGATTATTCAATTAGTAAAGCAGTTTATTAAAATAAGCTTTACGTAAGATAAAGGCATAGGCTCTTAGATTAAAAAACTAATAATTATTCATAACTTTCTAAAAAATCAATGCAGTACTTTTTTTTTTTTTACTGCTGGACTTAAAAACATTATTTTAGGGTGTCAAAAATTCCGTTTACAAATGAAATTTCAAAAGTTGAATGAGGCATTGGAATGTCCCCTAGCCACAGGGATCAAAGTTCAGTAGTTCCAAGGACAATTATTTCAAACAAGTTAACATCTCCATTCGAGTAAAAAAAAAAAAAAATTGATGTTTTTTTATTTTTTTATTTATCAATTCCAAAATTTATACTTGATGTATTTTAGGGTATACTTTAGACGCACTTCGATAGTTTATTTTTACACCCTTTATTTATTATTATTTTTTTTTTATTTTCTTAAAATAATTCATATTATATGATTTAATGCATCCATGGTATTACAAATGCATTTAGTAAACATGTAGTAATAGCATAATGCATATAGTAAACGGGGCATCCAACATATATCCTTATTCTTAATGCCTCTATTAGCAAATTAATGAAATAAGTTTAAATAAATAATAATAGTTACATTTAGTTTTTAGGCAATGAAATGTTTCGAAAAATTGTATTCATAATTTCTGTAAAAAGTATAACACTCTCCCTGCGTTATTATTTCAGTTTGTTCTTTTTTTAAAAAAGCAAAATAAATTCAAAAATTGCACATTTTATTACATATTTCATAATTACGTGAGTTAAAATATTCAACTTCATGTAAAAGAGTTTTTTTCGTTGTTGTATATAATACGATCATAAAGTTTGTTAGAAAATAGAAATTAGTGAAAAATAATATAAAAGAAAGAAAAAAAGACAAAAAAAACATAAATTTATAAGTTTTTGAGAGTAACGCGGCTTTGGAATCTTTTTACAATTTTCTATTTTTACGCATAATAGAAAGAAAAAAAAAACCACCGTATTTTATAATTAAAAAAAAAAAAATCTATATTGAATGAAAATAAGAAAATATCATGGATGAAATTTAGCTTAAATCGTTACCTTATAAGTTTACCACATTTAGGCATTAATCACTTCATTTAAATATTTTTTTTATTGTCGCCAAATTATTTTTTCAAAAATAGTTTTAATTTTTCTCATCCTCTACTGAATAAAAGCAACTGAAACTTAAGATTTTCATTTTTAATATGGTATAAAAAAAAATTCTTGTTCATAATTCAAAATTTTTCTTCCATTATTAAATTAAGTAATAAATAATTATAAATTTTTTTTACGTGAAATTATCTTTGGGTAAACGATTTACATCTGAGGGAAAATGAAATTAATATTAAAGACACCAAACTTTCTTCTGCTCTCCTGACTTAACGCCCGTAATTCCCAGATTGCGACTACCCCGTATCATATTTACCCGTATCTAGGTTCATATATATATATAGTACGTTTTTGTGTCAGATTTCGTAACTTAGTTAATAGTTAG